GGACATGGTGGTGTTGGGTTGACGGTTGGACTCGATGATCTTAGAGGTCTTTTCCAACCTCAATGATTCTATGATTCTATGATTCTAAAACATCAGCATGTTATCAACATTATTCTCATCCTAAATCCAAAACACAGCACTGTACCAGCTACTAGGAAGAAAATTAGCTTTATCCCAGCTGAAACCATGACATGTTTTTACTTGTTAATTTAATCATCATTATTGCTAGTAACAGTCATTGGGGTCCTAAATAATTATCTAGATTGTTCTTGCTTACACATTTCAAATATTCGCAACTTTCCATTTTACTGAGCTAGAATTACGTAGTGTATTTTCATGCATTTTTCAAAGTAGTAGAGGTGATGAAGTTTTCACATCCTTCAGATTGTGGCTTCAAGACACACAAAGATAGCAATCCCACTGGCAGAGATGGGCTTGCAAATGATTGCTTAACCTCTCCTTCTCTTCAAGCTATTTGTTTCAGCACCAGGTCATGGTCAGGCAAGGCCCACAGATTGAGTTTAAGTAGCCAGTGGCTGCATGCTGGGAGAGGCAGATACTATCTGAAAAAGTTTGAATATGGATATACTTCAGATCCTTTTATAAACATAATGGTCATTTAATTCACAGAAGGAAAACATATTTCGCTATCTTCCATATATTTTTTCTTTTGCTAACATAGCCATTTGCTTCCCTCAACTACTTTGAATCCTGCGTGTTTCCTTTGACTATGCTGTAAGAGCGCATACTCTGAAATGTAGGGAAGGATTGTGCCTTTATTCTAGTCAGATGTGTTGAGAAGAAATAGAAAACCTATTTTCTTTTTTTTTCCTATGTGGGATGCATGTCTCCCTGCAATTCTCCTGCGACTTGGAAGTAACATTGTACTTGGTAAGGATCAGTACTCCTGGCAGATGCCTTTCCTCCACGCCCAGGGCAACAATAGCAACTGTTATTTGCAACACAAGTCACTCATCAAATTCTTGGGTAGCAAAGCTGAGAGCTTGTGTAGTATGGCTAGCCTAAGCACAAGGATTGCTAATGCTTAGTACTTTAACTGGACACATTCAACTCCAATGGGAACTGGGACACAGGGAAACAAGATTATTGTTCAGATGCTCATCCTAAGAAGAACATCCCATTTCAAACCTGTTGACAGTCAAAAAGGTTATAAATGCTGGAAAAAAAGGTACTTAAAAATGACTGCACATTGTAAGCTAAGCACTAAGCACACTAGTACAGTGCATGCTGTGACAATGTAATGATATAGTCTCGATTTTGCCCCGTTTCTACCTATGGTTATCATTTATCACTCTTAGCAGAAGCCAAGAGTTTCCTAAGAGTTACCTTTCTAGCACCATGTGGTTAAAACCAAACCAGCAAAACTCAGAACCATGTGCTGCAGAGCCAGCACACTTCCCACTGAAAGATGCATTGCATCCCCTACTCCCCTAACCATCTACTTAGGGTAGAGGCCTACCAAAGTAAACTCCACAAGGTGAATGCTAGCAGGCCCTCTTCTCTGGAAAGTCAAGTAACTATTCCCTTGAGACACCATGTCCCAAAGGAACCAGGGAAGAGGGACATTCATGGATGGCTAGAGAGACTTTAGTTCCCCACTGTGAGCTCAGTTTCCTGAGATGCTGACTCTCATCAAGCACATTTTTAGGCAAGGCTTAGGCAAGCAAACCAGTTTTTAAACTGTTCCTAATCCAGAATTGACAGAATTAATTTTATTGTAGGAAATAGCAATTTGTTTTTAGTATGTTCTGGATGGAGATAACCCAGAACCAAAATCTTGCCTGCCTTTGTACTTAAGAAAGTTCATATCTAGAAATACAGTTTCCTATGTCATCCACAATTTTTGGCTTAGCTTGTGTTTCCTGTTTCGTTTTCATGAA